GAAACCAGATTCCTGTGGGAGACCGAGACCCTCCAGCAGCAGCAGATGAGGGGCTGGGGATATGCTGCTGAGAAACTGAGGGGAAAGCAGGAGGTTTGGAAAGCCTGAGTTATTACTGGCCTGAATTCTGCCAGTAAGAGAACATAATGTGGTGTAGCCTTTCTATTAACTCTTTCAGGCCTGTACTGAGCCAGGAAAGGCGACTTATTCATTGAACCTGGTGGCTAATTAGGTAAAAATGAAGCTCACAAGTAAAAATATTGTTACATTTCTTCTTCCTATATGGGCCGTGCTCTTCATATTAGTGTTCAGCCCAGTGGTCGAAGGATGATATACCACAAAGTGAAAAACTAAAGACTTTCTGAAAGATTTCATTTCCTAACCTTATTTTAAAATTCCCACTAGTTACAAGTTCCACAAACACTCTGTTCCTTCAGGAGTACATGTTATAAAGTAAGTGCTCAATAAATGCATGTGAATGAATGAGAGAGACATCACTGCAGATGAGTGTCCCCTATCCTAGAAACAGAGCATGGAGCCCACTCTTAGGGCCTTTGGGATTGGTTCCCTGTCCCCTTACCATACCTGACCATTGAAGGTCATGTTCATGACTACTTCAAAGGGGTCTGGTTTGGGGATAACACATAAGGAAATATATTCAGTCCAAGTGTCATTTTGAGACTTTGGTCCCTGCCACCTACACAAGGCCAGTCAGGGCCAATGAAGCATTTCCAGTTCTTCCCAGTCTCTCTCAAGTGCCTGGGGGAGTGGCACCTGGCAAACAGTGCCCTATCACTGCTCCACACGCCTGACCAGCCCATCACTCACCATGAGGAACATAAAGCTGCCTGAGAGCTTGCTGCCAGGGAGCATCTGTTTAGCTGGCATTGACTCCTGTGGGAACAAAGCCAATGAGCCTGGGTGAGGAGAGGAGGAAGCAGTCAGGATAAAAAAAAAGGGGGGGGTAGGAAGTATAGTGCTTTGTTACATTAAAGACTTAACAGACCTTTTAATTTCTACAGCAAAGCACAGAGGAATTCACTGTGGAAATGTGTGAAAGCCTCTGGCTGGCCCCATGTCGCAAATCCTACTTCATGGAAGGCACGGGGCACGGAGGGGTGATGTTTGCTATAGCCGCTCCAACCTGCCAACCCTCTTCCCCACTCGTCCTATGTCCCCCTCTGGGGATGACACCAGACAGTCTCTCCTTGTATTTCTCAGGGACTGCCACGCAGATGAATCTCCATGTGAGATCTAAGTTTCTACTATTCTACTTGGAGGGAAACGGGTAGGCAAAGTCCTCCAGGTTGTACGTTTCAAAAATTAAGGCTCACACAACTCCCATCCAGTTGACCAACATTTTAATAAATCATTCCCCGTAATTTTCAGTCCCTTGGGCCATTTACACCACAGCCAGGCTCAGGTTCGCTCTGCCTGACAAACAAAATTTCTCTATCACGACAATTTTCCCAAGTCTGATACTCTGAACATTTACTTTATTTTCACTGACCTGTGAGCTCCACTAGGGAACAGATTCTATGTTATTTGACTTCTATTTCCAGAGCCTGGCCTGGTGTCTGGTAAACACAGTAATTCAGTGAATGCCTATAGAATGAGTGCTTCCATGTATGTTTACCACACTAGCAGGAAAAAAAAGTTTGGCTTCAGTGAGCAGATAGGTTGGGAAATATTTGGTGCTTTTCAGGATATCATTAAGTAGAAAAGATCCCTATGATCTCCCATGAACACTACCTCTTTTAGGATGCTTATTGTGGTAAGCATACTATTATGGTTTAAAAAATTTTTTTTTCAGCACACCTACAAATCTTTCCCTATAAATTCTCTGGAAGCAGGAACCAGGTGTGTTTCAATTATTTTATCCATCCCCTCACCCAATAAATGAACTAAATAACTGAATGAATGAATGTTTATTGACCAAACCATATTAGAGTCTCAGGTCTATCAAAACCTTCCAACACAACCACCCAAGTCTTTTTAAAAGAAAGTTCAGCCCCCAGAAAAACACTTGCAGAAATTTATGTTGGCACATCAACCAAAGACAACATTCATAGGACAACATCAATACCAAGTAGCAGAGAAAACAAATAGCTTTGAGGCACATGCAGAATGGAGAAAATGTGAACTGTGGATAGCCTGGCCAGGCCCAGAGCACAGGAGACAGGGGATGACAGCCAGGGTAGGCTACAGAATGTGGTGGTAGCCAAAATTTGTGGATAACTCACAATGCAGATTAACCATGTCAATAAAAGGAACTGCACTGACAACACTGACCTAGATCGGTTCTGTGAGGAATTTGTCAGGTGTGCTGAAGCAAGGGCTTTATCCAGGGAATGTGGCAGAAGAAAATCGTCATGCACAGTTACACATACTGGCAAATGGACTGAGAACAGGGCCAACAATGGGTAGAGGGAAGCCTTGATTCAGAGGGTAGGGTTTCTCTCTGCTGCAGGGTTCCCTTATAATTAACCAATTAGAGCCATAGCTTCATTTCCTGTGGCAGTTTTCTCTGCCACACAGAATGAGGTCACAGCCCTAACCACACAGATCTATAAAGCATCTGGGAGATGAAGAATGGTTTCAGATAAGCTTGGATCATTCCCCAGAGATGATTGGACACATGTGTGGTATTCTTAGCCTCAGTAGGAAGAGCTTCTCAGAGGAATCAAAGTGTATTCTGACACCAGCTTTTAAGTCCCGATTTACATCCTTATCACATGACTCTAACAAAAGAGATAGAATATTACTAGATCTATCAAGCAACTCTAGAAGCTGGAATAAATCAATCAGGGCTCCATCAACTCTGAAATAACAAATCATAGCAGTATTCAGTAGTACTAGATATGATACCCTGAGTGAAAAGAATTATTTAATATAATTTATTATGTATGTGAAAGAATTATTTAAGCTCTCAGGGGCCATTGGGATTTAACATATTACTATGAGTAGTATTTAGATGACGTCAATTTCTCAGAGAAACCAGAAATACCTATTGGCTATCAGAGTTCCAATCTACAAATAGAAGGGATGGATTTTACATAAGCCCATGCAGGGGACAGAGGGAAGCATACAGGATGGGCAGGAAAATCAAACATCAGAGAGGGACAAGGGGCATTACTGCATTCTTCCTGAGTTCATTATAAAGCTGTGTGCGTTGTTTTGACGAAGAGACTGTGTTCCCACCACAAACAGAAAACGTTCCCACTGTCCTTTCCCCTTATGTCTTACAAGAATGGGAGATCAGGGGATATTTATGGAAGCACGAAAACATGAAAAAGACAGCCAAGTCTTTGGAATTGAAAAGGAGCCGAAGGCAAAGGCTAGGGCTGACTGTGCTGGTTTCCTCCGCCTAGTAAGACAGTGGGACCTGACACCAGGGGCTGAGTTAAAAAGCGGGGAAGCCATAGAAGGACTTAAGGAGCTTCTGCCACGATTGGTAGATGGGTCAGACAGTACGAAGCTTGAGACCAGGGGAGGCCCAGAGGCCAAGAGTGTGAGAGAAGAGGAAGCAGGAATGCTGGTAGCACTTAAAGAGGTGGCTTCCGGGCTCCGTGGTGTTTCATCTCTCAGACTGTGGCTCTTTCTTAACAATTCCCTCACGTGTGTTCAGGGAGGGCTGATGCAAAATGAGGAGCCCTGCAGTGCAGGCAGGATGCAAGCTCCACCCTTCCGTGAAGGCTGTGACATCCCTGGGCCACAGGAAAATCCCAACTCGGTTCATCAGGTGGGGACACCACTTCTGCAGTTCTCCTGTGTCAGGAACAAGGCTGGGGCACAGGGGCAAGGGCTGGGAAGCTTCTGAGACAGGTCAGCTGTGGAGCTTTTTAATCAGAAACAGGAATTGAGGAAAGAAGGTACAGTGCAGCGGGAGAAAGAAACTCTTACACACACATTCATGAGAAGGGTCACCTCTGGGGAACAGGCCAGGATTGGAGGGGTGGCCAAAGGCAGGCAGTCTTGCCTGTAATGTTCATATTAAGAAGAGAATGGATTCATGTGTTGTTTAACTAAAAACTGATCTTCAAAAAGCCTTATATTTAAGAAGGACATAGAGGGAAGAGAGAGGTGTTAAGAGAGAGAGGAAGAAAAGATGAAAGACACAACCAACAGCCTGGGTCTCCTTGTAAAATAAAGGTCTCCCTGGATGCTGGAATCAGGTGACCCAAAGGGGTGGGGCTTGGGAGCAATGGAAGACACAGGGAGCAAATCACAAGGTGGGGGGAGAGTCCTAAACCAGAATTCCCTGGGTCACAAGAGAAGGAAATGGAAGAAACACCAGAATTCTGAGAGAAAACAGTGAAAAGAAAAAGACCCCCAGCCAGTCCTGGCCCATACTGCCGGTCAGATCGACGGTCCAGTCCCCCCACTCTCACACAGAAAGGAGCAAATGCTGGTTCCCCTGAACGGGGCCAGGAACTCAAGCAACCTCTCTCCTCTTAGGTCCTGTCTGCCAACCATGCCCTTGGTTGTGAAGAAATCCACTGCCCAGAAAATGGAAAGAGATACAAACACGAAGACAGCACTTCATGTGGACCACCTAGTCACCCTGCCCTCTCTCAAACTTTCCACCAAGACAATTCCACCCCACCCCTAACTTGGCCCAGCCAGTTAGATCCTGAAATAGAACGAGCACTCTTGCCATATATGCCGGGGCTTCCCTGGGGATTTTCTTGGGGAGAATCCCCGGGAAGAGTGGAGACCACCTCTTTTGGAAGGAGATGACCTCTGAGTTTTTGGTCCTGTCTGTTGGGCTCAGGTAAGCCACCAGGGAAGGGCATCGCTCAGGGGAACTGGAGGCAGGCGGCCCTTCAGATTTCTCCCCGTTAGCCATCTCGTCGGCACCGTATCCACCACCTTGGCCCCTTAGGGCTCTGCGGCGGAAGTGATCTGGGGTCCGCCTGAGGATGGGGGCAGAGAACCCCTTCCAGAGATTAGGCGGGAGGCGCTGGGGGAGGGGAGCTGGGAGTGGGAGGAGCAGTTACCTCATTGAAGCCCTCCTGCAGGACGTCCAGTAAGTTCCCCCGGGTCAGGCAGGCAAGCATTGTTCCTGCCGGGGGCTCCCCGGGCGGGGTCTCCAGGCCAGGCAGCGGCCGCCGCCGCCGCCTCCTCCCTCTGCACACAAAGACTCTCTGCTCAGCTCATGGGGATCTCTCCGGAGTCCCGCCGGCCACTCACTTACTGGAAACCTAGACCCGAGCCAAACTAGCGCCTTCCACTGGGCATGCTCGCACCGGGCCTCTGCCGGAGGGGCCCAGGCGCTGTCGCGGTTCCTATAGAAACAGCTGGGCGCGCAAAGGGTGGAGGGGCGCTGGCTGGCAGCCCCAGGCCAGGAGTCCGTAAGGGGGAGCACCGCGGGCGCGCGGGCGGGTTGGTGTGTGCGCGCACCGCACACACACACACACACACACACTCTCTCTCACACACACACACACACTCACACTCTCTCTCTCTCTCTCTGTCCGTACAACACATACACCGAGCTGGGGGCGGGCGTGTGTACCTACACTGCAGACACATACACACCAGGCCCCCGGCGGGCGTGCGGGTAGTGTGCGCGCGCGCTGCGAACATACATACACGTGAGCGCACACACATACACTCGACACACCGGCGGGCGTGCCGGCGTATGCATGCGCTTGCAATCACACGCGAGCTCACACACCAGGCCTGCAGGCAGGCGTGCCGGCGTGAGCGCGCGCTGCACACGCGCGCACACACACGTTCTGCTGATTTAAGGCCCAACGCCCCACCACAAGATGGGTGGGAAGGGGAGTGAATCAGGATTTTTTTTCTCCCAAACTAGCTGAAAACAGCAACCTTTCTCCGTAAGGGGCCCGGACAGTGAGGTTGGACTAAAGAAGGGGAAGCAGAAGGGAACAGAGAAAAAAAAGAGAGAGAAAGAGAAGAACCACCAGAAGGAGAGGGGGGTAAAAGAGGATAGAGCTTTAGTTATTAATAGTATTAGAACACATTTAATAGAAATAGTAGTAAAGAAATACCATGGGATCATAACAGAAACATCAAGGGGAAACCAAGGATCACCAAGGCTTTACCCAAAAAATCTGTATTTCTTTAAAAAATAACTGCTAAGGAGCGCCTGGGTGGCTCAGTTGGTTGAGCCGCTGACTCTTGATTTCGGCTCAGGTTATGATCTCAGGGTCCTGCGAGGGAGCCTCCTCAGAGAGAAGTCCGCTTCAGGATTCTCTCTCCCTCTGCACCTTCCCCCCCCGCCCCGCTCTGTCGCTCTCTCTCTAAAATAAATAAATCTTTAAAACAAATAACAAAAAATAACTGCTAACATGTAAAGCCCATATTTTTAGTGAGATTTAAATGAATTAAATGGGTTTTAATTGAAATAAACACTACAGGGGCGCCTGGGTGGCTCAGTCCTTAAGCGTCTGCCTTCGGCTCAGGTCATGATCCTGGGGTCCTGGGATCCAGCCCTGCATCGGGCTCCCTGCTCAGCGGGGAGCCTGCTTCTTCCTCTCCCACTCCCACTGGGCTTGTGTTCCCTTTCTCGCTGTGTCTCTGTCAAATAAATAAATAAAATCTTTAAAGAAAAAAAGAAATAAACACTACAGGTGGGTGGGGGGTGGGATAAATGGGTGATCGGTATTAAGGAGGGCACTTTTTACGATGAACACTGGGTATTATATGTAAGTAATGAATCACTAAATTCTCGTGAAGCCAATATTACACTCTATGTTAACCAAAATTTAAATATTTTGAAAAATAAAATAAAATAAATACTACAAAAATGCCCTGGAGGTTTTGAGTTAGGTAAAAGCTTCCCCAAATGAAAGAGAGCTACTCCCCTCTGTTTCTAGTTATTCAAGTCACAGCCTTGATTATTTATTTTTAGGACTACTAGTCATTCGTACTCTCAGTGCACATTCTTGTTTCTATAGGGAAACTGGAAGCTGAAAGAACACCCATATTATATTACACCTCGTGATCCCAGATGGAGGGGAAGGATTTACAGAATGTTAAGGCTCAAAGAAGGTCAGGGCCTTGCCCAAGGACACAGCTGGTCAGTGATAAAGGCAGTTTGAAGATCTAGGACTCTATGCTTATGATTTTGCAGAAGGCCCAAATTTCTTCCCCCAAATACCCACTGGTACCTTAGGAGGAAAAGTCAGAAACGGTTCTTCTCAACCTAATGACCTCCTCCTCAGCTCCTCAGCTCACTTAGAGAAAAAGAAACTCGGTAGGGAGCATCCAGAACTAGCAACATCTTGCCTGAATGTTTAAAGCTGCTAAACACAATGATACTTCTGAGAAAGACACACCTCCCACCCCCCACCCCCACCCCAACCACAGCAAGCAGGAAGCAGAAGGCCACCAGAGGTGTTCCGTGACTGGTGCTGCTTGAATGCTCTGTATTCAATTCTGGCAAAGGTTGGGGAAAAGCCATGGCACCAGATCAAACTGAACCCGATCAGCCCATGAGTCAGAAAAGCACTGTCCTTCGTAACTAGGGAATTTAGCTGCCAAGAATTCCCCTTGCCATGACCACAGCTCATGGTGTAATACGATCAGGTGAGTCACTAACCCATGTTAATGAAACAAGGCCCTTTTAAAAGAGAAGCACGAAACTTCCAACAAAAAATTGCATGCAACACATCTACATGCATAGTGATGCAAAACCAAAACACCCAGTTGGTGGGTCCCTGGATAGAGGATTCTGATTGGTTGCTGGCCCATCATGCTTTGGACAAAGTAAATATTTGAAACATCAGAGGGAGGTCCTGCTGATAGTTATATGGCAAAAGGTCACTGTTTCTCAAAGAACAAGTCCTTTATCCAAGTAAGACCTGTGAGCTCAATATTCCTAGGAAAAGACTCATTAAATCACTGGATTTTAAAGCTAAAAAAAAAAGATATTTGATGCACATGAAGGAATGAAGACTAGGAGAGCTATTTACATGAACTCAGCAAGTCAATATGAGAGCTAAGATCTGAACCAAATGCCTCTGATGCTCACAGCATGCTGGAGGAATTAGAGGGAACTGTGGTGAACAGATACAAGATTTATTATAGGGCATATGGTCCACAATTGCACTATTCCCTAGAAATCTGTAATTATATCAACCACATATCCTACAGTAGTGGTATGCAATAGAATTTTCTATGATGGTGGATGTGTTCTATATCTGTGCCATCCAATCCAGTGGCCACTAGCCACACGTGATTAGTAAGCACTTAAAATGTGGCTAATGCAAATGCAGAACTAAAATTTAAGTAGCATTTAATTTTAATTCATTTAAATTTAGATAGTACCATTGCATAATATTCTGTGCCATTTTCCCCATACAATTATTGGAATGTTCCAAAAATTATAATATTTTCACATATAGTCTGCCTCTCACACTTGGAAAAAGCACAAAATTCCTGTTGGAGCATATAATCTCTAGGGGTTTTTTTTTTGCTCAGAAGATGTGCTCACCATATTTATCATGGTCTGCCTTACCAAATAGCCCAGGTGAAGAACTGAGCTTTAGCTCTAAGCAGCACTAACATTTACTGTTCCCTCCATCTGCCCCATCTCGCTCTGCTGTCCTATCAGCATAAGAGCTGGGAGGGTAAGTGGGTTAACTAAAAGAACCAGGAATAACTGGGACAATGATCTGCATCCTGTAGTGCTAGAACAGGGGGAAACTGAGAGCTAGTCCAGGTAGCTGGAACCACTCCCACCACTGCTGGCCTGTCATTCACTCTGCCTGTGAGGAGAGGCAAAGGGTCCAAACTAGCTGCTTTTTGCCTATGCCTGCCATGCTGCCTGATTTCTGAAATTGTACCAGACCTCCTCGGTCCTATATTATTTTAACAGTAATGGCGCAGATACTTCCCTCACCAACTAAAAGCTACCCAAATATCTATAGGCAACCATAATAATAGCAAAATTGAACTTCTACTATGTGCAAAGCCCTATACTAAGCACTCACATACATTAGCTCATTTGATGGTCACAATTACTATAAACAGTAGGGGTTTTTTAGTATCCCCATTTTACAGATGAAGAAAGAGGGGTCTGGACGATAAGTAATTAGCTAAGTGGTGAAGCCAAAGTCCAGGTTCTTAATCATTATGCAATCAATACTTTTACATGATGCTCGAGACATAAAAGGTACTCAGTAAATGTTCTTAGTTGAATGCATGAATGAATGAGTGGAGGAAACATTGGCAAACTCATTCATCACTTGTATTAATACAGATAATAATATGTTGGCCTAAGTAAGCCTTAAATAGAACTGTCATTCGGTGAAAATATTGACTGACTTCTCCCTGTGTGGAAATGTGTGAAATTCACACCTATGTCAATTTAATACATCTATCGTGGGCAATCATTAATGACTATAAAGAAGCAGAAAGTTGGTCTGAATAAACAGATAATCAAAATTGTCAATGGAAATATTTTAAATGTCTCTGAAATAATTTCTTAATCTTTTTCTATTTTCACACATTAGTGAGTTTCTTGGCAGTAACATATGTTTACAATTTCTACTGCATTTATCTTCAGAGACATCAGCATAAATGTACACAAAAGGGCTCATACCTACTGGCAAAGGCTCCAAACGTGTCCTGGCTCCTAAACTGTTCTCTTTGTCTCCTGGCTTTTCTGCCAGCCTTAATCTTACGGAGACAATGCATTCATCCTCCTGCTCAAATGGTCAAGTGTTCTCAAACACTCCTTTTTCCTGTCAGATATAAATTCCTCATGCCCCACTCTTAAGGCCCTCCCCCAAATTGCCTATGCTCAGGTTAGCAGACCCCTCTCTGTCTCACACGTTCCCAGGGCTCATGTACACCTCCCATTCCTTCACAACTGTCCTTCTGCCTAAAATGTCCCACACTTCTGCTACTCAAATCTTTACTATGCCTAGTTCAAGTTATGGTTCCTCATAAAACTCCTCTGACCACTTTTAGTTTTCTTAAAATCAAGGCAGATCTGATCTTAATCTGTCTCAAATACTCAAGTCCTAGATAACCCATGGTTCATTCCTGTTCTTTTTTCAGGTTTCTGCTCAAATATCACTTTTACCTGTTCAGCCTTATCTGACTACCCTATTTGAAATGACAATGCCCAGGGCACTTGAGTGGCTTAGTTGGTTAAGCACCTGACTTTTAATTACAGCTCAGGTCTTGATCCTGTGGT